AATATAGCTATTACTGTTCAGAGTTCATCACACACTCCCCTAACAAATTTAAACGAATTATAAATTTTTAACAACAACAGTCTACACAGTTATATTTACTTCCCTTTAATCGTCCTTCAACTGTTCTCTGATGTTAACTTTCGCGATCTTTGCTGCTTTCCGTTCTGGTCTTTCCTTTAATTTATCATCATTATCTTCAGTACTTTCGTTGTGTCTTCCCTGATCTTCCTTAACCACGCTCCTTATCTCCAAAGGACATACTAGCTGAACAGGTCGTTCCAAATAGTTACCCTTATGTAATACAATAACTCCTCTAATTACACCGTCCTTTCCTTTCACGTACTTCACAACTTTGCCTTTCATCCACCGTCCTCGGTTCTTTTCGTCCAAATCTGCGGTTTGCATAATGTCCTCGTCAGTCCCACTCTTCACCAACTTTGCTTTCTTGCTTTGCTCCAAATTTTCTTTCATTCTACTTTCGTCTGTAATTTTTCTTTTCTTTTTCTTACGTTTACTTGTCTTTTCAACGCTACTAGTTTCTTTAGTGTTTCCCTGTGAAACAACATTACTTTTCACTTTCCCTTTCGTTTTTATGCCATTTTCCTCAAGGTTCTCTACTTCGTTTTCTTCTCTTTTCCTCTCAACATCATTCATCAATTCAAATGTTTCATCTTGGTCAGAATTATCGGAAGCATTTTCGTCTTCATCACCTTGTCCTTCCTTTGTTTCTTCCGCAGTTACTGCCTTCAGTTTTCTCAACCGTTCTGGTGTATTTTCATGTCCCTCAGTTTCCTCATTCATGTCTTCTCTTTCTTTTCCATCGTTCAAAAACCATGGATTTTCCGAACTATCACCGACCAGTCCAAAATTTCTAAAATTCTCAGGAATCTCCGCGCTATCTTTGGCTTTATTTGCCTCCTCTCTGACAACATGTTTGTGGGGTATATGATATACTCGTTTACCATTCGGTTTCACTGGTGCACCTTCAATGATACCCGATTCTAATTGCTTCTCGATTGTTTCATCATAATTGTTGTTTACCTTCTCATCTCGCTCGATCTTTTTGCATACGTTAGCTAATCGCTTTCCACTTGGTTCTAGATTGCTATTTGGTAAAGACTGTCCTGGAATCGATGGTACGTTGACTTGATATCTACCGTCATCCGCCCGAGTAATGTTTTCTTTAAATTCATGATAAACGTCCAGTTGGTCGTTCTCCCCTCTACCTTCAATTCCAACTACATCCAGTGTATACAATTGCTCGTAGTCATTTGGTTCTCTTGTAAACATACACACATTGTTCGAAATATCTCCACCATGAACAATCCAACCAATACTGCTTCCTTTGAAATAAAATTCCTGCCCGATCCTGTGTCCAAAAATGCCCAGAAAACTTCTCCATCCACCTTAACTGGAATTATGGGGGGGTAATGTAATCTCGTCTGTTGCTGTTGAGTAGCCCGTTAGTACTGTACCATCACCGTTGTTCTCTTTCTGATCATGTAAACTGGTATGATGTTTCTCCCCACAGTGATAGCACCCACGACTCCGACAATGTCTAGCCCTATGTCCCGGGCTACCGCAATTGAAGCATAAATTGTTCTCACCGAAGTAAGCCTTTCTTTGAGCTGTGGTTACATAAGACTTGCACATATCACTCCAGTGTTCAGCTTTACAGAACATACAACAAGGTGTCTTTTTTCCTCTTTCGTTCTCTTTACCTCCATTACGTGCAAACAAGTTTTTCTCTCTTCTTCTTGGGTCAGCTGTGGATTTATCTTCTTCAGTTTTGTTTCTTCGTAACCATTTTTGCAGACTATCAACTAAGTTCTCCATTTTCCATTCTTCCCAATCTTCGTCAGTCCTTACCAAGTCTGACTTCACATTTGGCAACTTATTAATAGTACACATCACAAATCCATCTAATTTCTCATGTTCACCGAGAGTCTGTAGGGCGTCATAGTTCTTGCTCAAATGTTCGTAGAAAGCCAAGATCTTTTCATAGGAGGACCCTCGTACTATGGGTAAATTTACTACTTCATCAATATGTGCATTCACAACCAACCTTGTTTGACCGTATTCCTTTTTGAGTCGTTCCCAAGCCGTTTTATATCCAATCGAGCTCGGTTTGAGGTTTGAGATCTTATCCCTGACTTTTCCACTCACCATTTCAAGTAAATAGCCAAACTTTTCCTCATCACTAATTGGCTTAGAATCGACCTGTGTAATAAACATGTTCTCAAACCTTACCCAGTCTGCCGTTGTTCCATTAAATTGTGTTATTTTCAATTTAGGAAGTTTAGCTAGAGTTGATCTTGCAGCTTTTTCCATTTCTAGCTTTTTCTCCGTCATTCTAAGCTCTGCTTGTAATTTTTCTTCGAGCATTTGCCTCTCTTGGTCTCGAATTACTTCCCTGTTATGCTCTTCTTCGATACGTTTCGCGTCTCGTCGCTTATTTTCCTCTTCAGCGGCAATATTTGCTTGTCGTTTAGCCAGAAAATCAGACAGTTTGTTCATTTCATTTACCCATGGCATATATCTATCTCTTACCTCTTTCTTCCATTGTCGAATTTCCCGTGATGTACTTTTTCCCAGCTCAACTTTCGTCTCTTGAGCGGTCGAAACAAGGCTATATATTTGATCCAAAATCGCCTTTGTACGCTTGTTTACTGTTTCGATTTCCCTAAGATCTTGCTCTTCGATAAGCTCGTCGGTTTGTTCCAAATAATACTTTAACTTTTCTATTTCCTTGTTGATTTTATTCTCAATTTGTTGCTCGCTCGCTTGTTCTTCTGTGTCGCTCATTTTAACTCTCGCTTATCGTCGTAAATATAGTTGTAAATTTGTTGAAATTCCCCGTAAAATATCACTTGTTTCCCTTGTTTACATCCTGGTCACGGCACCACTATATACCGAAGTTGTCCTCGTATATAAATCCTCACTCTAAATATTTATTATACACAAAAAACAATACGAAATATATGAATTCACTTGTCTCAAACCCTGTCAATTGTCTCTTAACCTTGTCTATACTCTTGAACAATAACAAAGTCATACCATATATGGTAATGTTGCGCGTGTCTCTAAATATAGCTATTACTGTTCAGAGTTCATCACACCCTCTCGCAGTGTCCACTGTCCACCAATGTCTTATTCACATCATCCCTTCTCGTTATAGGCTTTTTAGAAGGACTAAAAAGAGGACACGAGGATCATTCGCCAAATTATAAAGCACTAGTCTTACTTCGCCCCATGGTGCAAAGTAGTCTTGGTGCCGCCATTTTAGGAGCAAAATCAATCAACGAGAAGTTCCCTGTCGACTACAGTAAAAACACGGAGAGCTTTTTCACATTCACACCGGGTTGTTCATAAGATCACCAGAATTAAATACAATAAAAAGTCGCATAAATTAAAGACCAGCTGTATTTTATGTCAGGCTAAAATTGCTCTTAAATAATGAGTATTAGCGAGAAGTCTACACCGGATTCCAGAGCCTTCGACAGTAAATAATAAATTGAAACGTCGCGAAGGCACTGGTTCAACGGGAAGATTCTTTGATTAAACCGCGCCAATCACAAAACAGAATTAGTGGTCTTAGTACAGAATCTGTACTAAAACCACTAATTCTGTTTTGTGATTGGCGCGGTTTAATCTAAGAATCTTCCCGTTGAACCAGAGCCTTCGCGACGTTTCAGTTTATTATTTACTGTCGAAGGCTCTGGAATCCAGGGTTTGAGAAGTCAGACCACTATTAAACGTGGTCAGGCCGAATTGGTTCTTAACTGGTTCTTATTTTAGTCAAAACAATTGTTGATGATTTAGAAATTTTGTTTCATTAACTAATAAGTTGTTGACAATATTTGATAAAACGTTATTATGCTTATTTTTCTTTCTCAAAAGAAAACTCTCACCTCCGTTCATAGTATAAATTATTTTTTAGTTTTTAATTCTATACTATACTATAGGATTATACGAAAGGTATTTTTTCCCAATATTTTTTTTATATTTGCAACGTTTTGGGCAGTGTAACTCTCTGTCTTCAGGCTATAAACTACGAAAATGAATTACGAATCAAACTTCTGAATGTTGACGTGTTAATACCATACGTATAATCCTATAGAATTAAAAAATAATTTATATTATTATGCTTGTTTAGTATTTAGCAACAGATTATGCTCTTTATTTGCAATAGTGTTAAAGTAAGTATATATCTGCGTATACCTGCATGCCCTAGAATTTTACGCGGGCTTTTACTGTAGCTGTGGACCTGGTGCCAAACTGAATATCATCTTTTAGTAATTAATCAAAATGTTCCAACTTTCAACTTAATGATTTGGTCAATTTTCAAAGACCATGCATGATTGGGGCTGAGCCTCCTTAACAAAACAGAACAACTATGGCTGACTATTACTGTAGTTTTATCGAATGTAATTAAATTCTAATAATAATTAAATTAAATTTTGATATCTATAAAGTTTCCACATTTAATGCCGAGCCCAACCTCGTACGAGGTTGCATGCCATTCCGCCTTTTATAGTCCCGTTCAAATTGTGCTTGGAGTGTGTATTTTGAGTAGGAGTGTACACCAGAACAATTAGACAACTCGATCTCGTTGCCCCAAGTCTCTCTCGAATGGGTTTTGAGGTTTTGATAGGGTATATATTGATCTCATAATAAACTGGATATACCCTATCAAAACCCATTCGAGAGCAATCTCGTTCCCCGAGCCTGCGGTCCTCGGGAAGGAACGCGAGGCTCTGGGATAATCCGTTTCAGGGAGGAATCTGATTGGCCGTTGAAATGGAATGCGTATTCAATCTTAGCCAGAATTCCTGACTTCCGGCAAAGATTATCCCAGAGCCTCGCGTTCCTTCCCGAGGATCGCAGGCTCGGGGAACGAGATTGATTCGAGAGAGGCTTGGGGCAAGTCTACTGTGACCCAGTCCCTTTCTATTTTGTATGTCTGCGCGGTCGGATACCAGGATTGTGCCGAACTTAATAAATTTTGTATTTTGAATTCGATTTATAAAAGACTAATACTATGATTTTATGATCTCAAAACTTGATTAACGTTACGGTCCGTTCAGAAATTACCTGGGGAAATGGTATAAAACTGTTTACGACCTTCATATATGGCTATTGGACGTCGCCATCTACTGAAGTTCTTGCTCCAGATATTATATAGAGCGCACTGCTTGCTGATTTTAGTGATTTATTAATATTAGTAGTTTATTACAAAAAGGATTACTGTAAAGGAAATCTTTCTTGCTGTGAAACTGTTGTGGCTGTGTGGCAAAGATGTATCGAAGTATTTTATTGTTAATTCTTGCTGCAACCTGTGTCTGTTCAACACAATTACACAGGTAAGTAGACCATGTACAGTCCGTATGTAAACAAAGCCTTTGTTTACATTTCCATATTCAAAATATTGAACTTTATTCGAACTTTGTGATTAGCATTTGAATTTATATTCGTTTATATTTACATTAGCAAACAAGCAATGCACAGTGGCGTAGCCTGCCCGCCGATTCAGTCCCACTATGCTAATATTGCCATGTTTATAAACTATCAACACAATCAATTTCTAGGGAAATGAATGATGATGAGTTGAAATTTGCATAGCAGGGCCAAATCGTTGGGCTGGCTATGCCACTGGCAATGTATTGGCTTTATGACTGAAACGATTGATAAATTTAGCTTAAGTTATATATGTGCCGTTACTCTCACCCATTATTAAAACGGGTTACAGTATGCATTCAGTGTATAAATGCATTGTGAACAGTGTTTGAGGCCCCCACCCTATAGGGCACAATAGCCCAAATCCCAATCATTCCCCACCTAAGCCAAAAAAAATTATGTGAGATTCCTATTTCTTCTTGTAAAAACTTAGATAGGGTAGGTCGGTTTTAACTTTTTTTTAAACTTTCCGTTAATTTTCCTAACAACTTGAGACACCATGTTTGTTTCAGTCATTGCTTCCACATCCAAAGATAAATTTCCCTTATGTTGCCTCAAATTTCCATTTTCAACAAACCTTTTCCTCTAAGTGGAAACACTTACAAGCATGATCCAATAAAAAAGTTTAGTTAAAAAAGTTTAGTCGGGATTTCGGCACCAAAAGCAAAGTAGGGCCGAAAACCCACATATTTGTTTTGGCCCTATACTATGTTCAATGTCATTGTACTTTTATTAGAGAATTGACAGTCAGCGAATGTCAGGCTGGGGCCTGGGGCCAGTTGTACAAAGGCCGGGTAACGCTATCCACCGGATAGTGATTATACTGCATGAATAATTAGACATTCCAATTTACAACAAATCTTACTTCATTTCTTCAGTGTTTCCTGTCGAGGTTCCATTAAACCCTGGGAAGGTCTTTAACCTTACCATTTTGAAGAGATCTAAATAGCCATTCTTCATCTTAGTATGTATATCACACTTGTTTGTTGTTTGGCAAATGTTGCTTTTGTCTGGCAAATGGTGTTTGTAGATGAATGAGATTATCGATCAACTAGAAATAGCCATGGAAGCAAGCTAGGTCAATGGTCACCATAAATCATTCTTTAACCTTCCCTCTCATCTAAACCACTTTTTAACTAAGCCTTCTACCCCCTCCCATCCTGTTTTCCACTAAGCAAATTACGCCAGCACTGAACATGGTCGCGTTGCTCGCGCTACTAGACAGGTTCAGATTTGACTTCCACTACCGCTACCTCTACCATTAAGGGACCATCAACCAATCAGATACGCTTGATATATCCGATTAACCAATCAGATGCATACTAAGCCAGTGAGAGGTAGTGGTAGCAGTAGTGGAAGTCAAATCTGAACCTGTCTATTGTTGGCCATGGCACAGATTAAGTACGAACAGATGTTTAACTTCAGTGAAAAAGTTGTCTCACGGTCCCCATCTTCCCAGCGGCGTAACGCTCATTTGGTAGGGTTAGTTAAAAAACCAGGTGCCCCTATCAGCCACGGTCTATCGCCCTGAAAATTAGAAAACGTAAAAAATTAAAAATGCAAGTTAGGTTTGGAATCAATGGGAAAATGCAAAATTAATAATGCAAAATAATAAAGCCTCCATCGGTAACTGATTTTGTTATTCCATCTCAAACAAAGCAAAATTGTTATTGTTATAGACACGGAATTTTCCAAAACATTCTATAAATATTCAATATAAATATAATATCTCAGTCAAACAATCACAACAGTCAACAGGGTCCCTTTGTTACGCCACTGCAAGCAAGTGTCGCTCACGTGATAATTTGTCCTTTGGTATAATAGAGTAATAGTATGTTACGCCGCCATCTTCCCAGCAAGTGTCATGATGTGTGCATGACGTGTGCATGACGTCATAGTCTTTCAAACATGGTTTGAAAACTCCGCTAAAGTCTTTGTTCTGTCTTTTTGTTCGCGTTTATGCCGTTTTGTGCACGGTGTGCACGGTCAGTGAACACATTGTATTTCAGTATAATGAACGATCATCCAATAGCAACGTTTCAGTTCAGTCATTCAACCATGCTATTTAAATATTAATCAACCTAAAATAAAGGATGTGCACGGTGTAAGGTACGGCTCAACATAAACTCCCAGCTCATTATAACCGCTTTGAAGTTTGAGTTTCCAGACCATGTCTCGAAAGACTATGATGATGTGTTCAGCTTGGTGAAATTTGAGGATACGAAGTCCTATGAAGTTACACATTTGGTATATACTTAATCTGTGGCCATGGTAACCACATATATCTATGATGACAACACGTTCATTGTTTGTTTGTTTTTTGTACAAAACGGGGGGAAATAAATCAAAATTTAACGCTTTTAACTATAGAACTATCAATTTCTAAAATATATAAAGTTGGTATGTGATTTGGCATTATATGGTCGTGGACTTTATTTTAATGTAAAATTCAACACGAAACTCTTCGTAAAACGTTTTTAAATGTTCATTAAAATTAACTGCTTTTTGCCGATAAACGTATTACTCGTACTTTTAAATGAAATAAATTTTAATAATACAGGTGGCTTTTTATTTTGAGATTTTATTAAATTGATACAATGAATAGGAAAGATGCATGTGCATATTTTAGGCAAAACTCGAACAACAAGTCAGCAAAGTCATACGTGGACACTAAACAGTCAAAACAAACTTACGCTATACTTCAGGATTTCCTATACCAAATCAATTCTTAAACTGTAATCTGTATCTTTAAAAATTAAAAAATGCTTTACAATTTATTGATTGGGTGAAATGATTTCAGGCCTTAAAATATCTTTTCCAGGGCCGTATGACAAAATGTCCGATGACGTTGAGTTTGGGTCGGACATATGTCCGATGACCTTCAGTTCAATTTTGACTTGGAAATAAGTCTGAATGACACAAATGAATATCAGCACAATGTATTAATTCTGAACGGTAAATGTTGTGAAGATATTAAATAATTTGTTTCTTTCATACTTATTTCCAAGCCAAAATTAACTTGCTTTCCAAAACAGCAGTTTTAAAAAGACTTTGACCCGTTTTCCACTTCACCATTTCGCTCGCCGCCCCGCGCTCGACTACGTTAAAACAATATCTCCAGATCACCTTCTATACGATAGTACTCTGATTTTCCATTTAACGTACAAGCCTCCGCTCTAGTCCTGGCTAGGGTACATTTTGATTTACGATGGACAAAGCTACACATTTAGGTCGGTCACCAATTCACTCCGGTCGGACAAACAATAAACCTCAGTTTCACTTAGGTCGGACAGAATGTCCGGTGG